TTACGCTCCCTGACTACAGCAGGGGAGGGCCTCTGGCTTGTGGTCCTCAGGTCCTCCCTGCGTCCACTGATAGTATCCATGGCTCTTGTCACATGTGGACCGGCCACCACTCAGGGGCCACCTTGCTGAACCCCTCCCCCAACCTCTCATCGAATGCATAGGTTATCAATGAATGTTATGTCCAGGTGGTAACCCTGCTCATCTTACTCTGATTGGAGGCTATGTTTGGCAATATGCATGATTAATAAAAATGAAAGGGTAGATTAATTATTAAGTCATTGAGTACAAAGTTATAATTAATCTTAATTAAAACATATAATTTGGTAGGCAAGATCTTTTAAAATAAATTATCGATGGAATTAACCATCAAAATACGGGGCCTCAAAGGTGTTTTAGAAGAGGCTGGGAACCGCATCCATGGGCTAGAATGGTGTTTCCAGCTGCATTTCAGTACGTGTTTACTTTCAGACATTATTCTGGTCCTAGTGGAGAATTTGCCCTGAGGAATTCACACCTCTCTCTAGTTTGTCTTATAACAACAGATTGGATTGTTTTCAGGGTGGTTGACTTGGATTATGGTAAGGAATGGATTGTATGCATTACTTCAGTCTAATTAGAAACACAGACTCACCAGGAGACCCAAGGGACAGCCAACTCTGCATTAGGGGCCAGGCAGTGACCACTGAAGTGTCCAAGAGAAAGTCCCCAGGAGGATATGGAGGGGCACTCGGGGCTAGACAGTCAGGGCCCCTCTCCCGTGATGACTCCCTTCCTCTCTTTCTTCTGCAGTTCCTGAGCTTAAGCTTCTTCCTGTGTCTCTTCTTCCCCACCTCCCTCCACATCCACAGATGGGGTGGCTGCGTTCCGCGCCTTTTTGAAGACGGAGTTCAGCGAGGAGAACCTGGAATTCTGGTTGGCCTGCGAGGAGTTCAAGAAGACCAGGTCAACTGCAAAACTGGTCTCCAAGGCTCATAGGATCTTTGAGGAGTTTGTGGATGTGCAGGCTCCGAGGGAGGTGTGTTGGCGGTAGCGGGCATCTTGCCCCACCCTTATCCATGGCTCCTGGCTCACATCTCCTTCCTGGTGGGGGTCTGAGCCAGGCTCCATGGGGACTTTCTTCTGAACTGAGCCTCCTTGCTCTGATGGCTCTCGATGAAAAAGGGATCGTTTGAAGGGGCAGAGTCGAGGGCTGGTATAAAAAGAGCTCTATCAGGAGTGTTTTAGCTGTCTGTCCATTGAACATATGCCTGTGGGAGCTCTGTTTCTATAGAGATTCTGCAAGGGTAGACGCCACTGAATCCGTGCTAGTTTCCTAGTGGGAGGCAACATGGCTTTAATGGAACGAGCACCCACTTTGAATTCTTGTTCCAATCTCGGCTCCACCACTTACTAGCTGTGTGATCTTGGTCAAGTTACCTAACTTCTCTGAATCACATCTTCCCAGATGTAAAAGGGTATAACATCACCTACCTTTCAAGACTACTCTGAGTATTAGGGATAAAGCACCTATGGAATATTTGTCACTGCTTATTAGTGAATAATTATAATCATTTATATTATTTTATGATAACTTATAATAAGAAAATAAATTTTTATGTACTGCCGTTCTGAGATATAAAACAAAAATTTTACTTGGGACGGTTTTATGGAAGAAAAGTATCGGCTATAAAACTTTGGCTATCTGCGAGTTTAGGTGCATTTCATACCTAGAACTCTTCAATGATGCTTTGACTTGGGCCACAGGAGGTCTTTGGCCAGTGGCCAGGGTGCTGTGGGCTTCTTTTAATGCTGCTTGGAGCACAGATGAGCATTCTAACCATGGTGTTTCTTCCTGGGGCATTTGTTTTCTTAGTATTTAAGAAAAGGCAAGAGGGCGAGCTTACTTCAGGTAACCTGCATTCATACCTGTTTCGAGTTTAACTCTTTGTTTGACATTGTGAAGGCCTCTGGATTAAGAGTTAAGTGAATTGGGGTTTTGCCTTGGCCTTGTTACTAACTTTTCATATTATTTCAGACCAGCTTTTTAGTGTCTTTTTTCTTCAGTGTTCTTATCTATAAATTGAGATGAGGAATATCTGGTCTTCAGACCTCATAGGATTCTTTCTAGGATCGAAAGGGATGACCTCTATGAAAGCAGTTTGAAAAGCAGCAATAACCATACATATATAAGATGCTGTCACTGGTTATTACGTGGCTAGGACCAGCCGCCAGGCACTTTGGCCCTTGAGAGCCTGTGACCATGCTCTCTGTTTGTGTCTCCAGGTAAACATAGACTTCCAGACTCGAGAAGCCACGAGGAAGAACATGCAAGAGCCATCTTTGACCTGCTTCGACCAAGCCCAGGGGAAAGTACACAGCCTCATGGAGAAAGACTCTTACCCCAGGTTCCTGAGGTCCAAAATGTACTTAGATTTGCTGTCCCAAAGCCAGAGGCGGCTCAGTTAGACCTCAGATGGGGACTCTGGGAGATCACCGGCTTTCCCCTCCCCTCGCTACCAAGACCATCTTCTAATGTGAAATGTCATAGGTGTTCAAAAGCAGTGGTGTTTAGGTTGGGAGGCCGGGGGCGAGGAGGGGATGAAGGGCTGTTCCGAAGCATGACCCAGCCGCCAGAGCTGGGACTCTGCTCCATTTGCCCATGTTCGTGTTTTGGTTAGTGGTAGCATCTGGCTACTGACACCCTTCTCTGGGTCAGCAACTCGTCCTCCAGAATGCCTTGGGCCCTCTCCACTGAGAAGGCAGATTCTAGGCTGGGCTAATCTGTAAATAATGCCAACGAAATTTCCACCCCTTCCACACCTTCCTCAGTCAGAATTCCTGACTCTCTAACATCCCGTTCCCCTGGCTCACATTTGTGATATACTATCACAGTGTCACGGCCAGTTCTGGGTGCTGGGACCTCACAGTTCAGAAGAGAGGTCTCTGTGGAATCCTGGGTTTCTAGCACTGTCATTGACAGGTGGCCCCTAGGAGAAGGGACGGACTCCATGGAGTTGGCTGTTTCTTCCATTTTTGTAGGACCAGTGTGAAGAGCTGTGCTCACTGCCCTCCTTAGTCTAAGAAATTAATGAGACCCCCACCCCCCTGCCCTTGCAAGGCCCTTCCAGAAAGGGTCTTGGGAGATGTCCTTCATGACTTCTGATGTGGAGCTTCTATTAAGAAAGATACAACTTGCAAATCTTCCTCAATTCTACCAAGAAATTTCCCAGAAATTGAATGACCAAGACATGTAGCATCAGTAGACTTTTGTGCAATGGGGCGCCATATAATCTTTCTGCCGCTTAATGTATTCTCTGCCCTTGCTTCCCTGTGGCATCTTACATCACTGATCTCTTAGAGTGACGGACCGCTTGACAAAGGGAGGTGAATTCCCATAGCATGGACGGCTCTTACGGTGCCTAATACTTTCCCTGTCTCTCTCCGTCCCCCCTTCCATGCAGGTCATGTAACTATGATGGGGGAGAATGGGAACTTAGGCCATAACTCTCTTTCCAGCTTGCTTACTGGGATCATGCTTTCTTAGAAAGGTCCTTCTCACGAAGTCTACCTTGGCTATTCAGCAGCTTCCTTCTCGATCTCTGACCTTTTGGGACTGAACTTGAGGCTAAGAAGATCACTGTGAACATTTGGTTGTGGAGAGACGTCCTAAAAATGCTTTCATGGTACCCTGGGGCTGCTCTTGGAAATGTGTCAGGAAACTTTTCTTGGAGGATGAGTGAGGTGCATGGAACCTACTTGAACTGCCCAGGAAAAAGCTGGCTTTGGCACAAGACTGCAATGCCAAGGAGAGGAATCCTCGGCAAGGAGACCAGAACGTGGAAGAGGATTCTGGAAAAGGCTGGTCTCCATAGAGAACGTGGGGGAGGAAATATTATTGGGATAATTTATAGCCGATGGGTTTGGATTCACGACCGATCTTCAAAACTTCCAGTTGACTAAATATAACAGCACCCGATCAAGCGTAAGCTCTGGAGTGCAGGCGACTGAGCCCTGGGCTGAGGCATTCTCCCCTTGTGAGGCGATGGGCCTTTTTAGATATGTGAGCGTTCCAGTGTTTGGATTCCTGTCCAGTAACTTCATGAATCTCTTCCTTCCTTGGCTACCGTGCGACAAGGCCAAGAAGGCTCTTGAGTCCCACCTATGTTGGGTTCACTGCCCTGCCACGGCACATCGTGTTTATGAGTCAGGCTTGGGGTGTCTGTATGAACCACCAACGAGAAAGAGAGCACGTGCCTCCTAGCTCTCACGCTGAAGAGACGCATGGAATTTCACGCTCGAGAACTCTGGAGCCTCCAACGGGTGTCCTCAGTCAGATCAGGTAGTCTTCCCCTGCTCCCACTGGTAAAAATCCATCCTTAGCTAAAGCTGCCAGAGTTAATTTAATGATCAAATTCTCCAACAGGGTATTTTAAACACTGTTTACATACGAAATGTGCATCTGCTGCCAACTCTGCTGTCGAGTATGAGGTGTGTATAGATTGGAACAGCACGGACTTATGGAAATACGAGGCGTCCTGAGAGGGGCCTTTTCACCGCTTCCACTCTCCCCGGCAGAAAAGTCCGAACGAGTGTCATGCAGTGGCCTCCTTTGGGGCCTAGAGTTCTTGCCAATTTTCATTGGAATGAAGGCTGCAGGTGGTGGTCTCGTGGCGCCTGACGACTTCCTCCCAGACAGGAAGGTGTGAAGGACCAAGCTTGGGTATCTTGCATTTTGCCGCTAAGTGAGGATATGTGGGCGTGTGTCCATGTGTAGAGGCATGTGATAGCCATGTTTATGGTACTCCCATGGAGTGTGTGTGTGTGTGTGTGTGTGTGTGTGTGTGTGTGTGTGTGACAATCGTAAGCATTAGACTAGTAACCACTGAGATGATCTTCCCGTGGGGTGGAGCTGTCCTCACACCTTTATGTCCTGCTTCCCACGAAAGGCACAGAGCTCTCCGCTCTCATGCCTATTTTCAGGCACTTTGGTCATGCCAATCCAGATTTTGGTCTGTGACAAAACAAAGAGAAATGTTTACAACATCTAGAGCAATATCCGCGCATACCTCACCCCCGGCCTCCCACCTCTCCCAGCCCTGCCCGCTCCTCCACGTCCTCTCCCACAAGCCCTGTCGCCTCGTGTGGTGGCCCGCGCAGGCACCGCTCCTTCCATTCAGCGTCTTCCTTTGCTGCTTGTGCCAGCTTGTGCTGTGGATGCCTGTTGGGCTTGAGGCTTGCTCTGCACCTGGGCAAGCCAGGGCAGTAGGCCAGGCAGAGCTGTGACCTTTAGGACTGTTCTCCATCGATGTGGCCTTTCGGCCCCACCTGAGTGTTAAGTCGTTTGGGGGCTGTGGTGGGATTTCCTGTTGCCCTCAGCAAACCAAATCGAACACCTTCAATGACAACCATGCACAGCCCCGGACACCTCCGGGGTGGGGAAGGGTCCTCTGAGCAGTATTTATTATTAAACTTGAGCACCCGGGACTCCTCCACCCCCACCCCGGAAAGCCTATTCAAGTGCCAGTTCCCAGGTTCCACACCCAGAGATGCCGATCCCACGGGCCTGGGGTAGAACCCGGAAGCCTGCATTTTTAATAGGCTCCCGGGTGTGTAATGGACCACACTTTGAACAAAGACAGTCTAAGGCAGTCGCTGTCACCCTTGACTGCTCATTACAATCACCTAGGGAATTTTAACAACCCCAATGTCCAGGTCCCAGCCCAGAACAGCTTGAGATTGGGACTCGAGGAATCACTCCACAGGTGATTCTGATGTGCAGACGAAGTTATGAGTCTGAGGCGTCAGGAGAAACGTGGCTGGGTGAAAAGCACTGATGTCTGGGCCCAGACGGCTGGAGCGTACCCAGTGCCAGCAAGCGCCGTGACTGGCACCCTGCCAGCCCTGAATTTGGCTGCTGGGGTGGCCGCCTCTCTGCCCTTTCAGTCTGGCTTGCTCCTTGGGGATACAGATGTCACGTGTTTCTGCCCCAGCCACATGCACTGTTGGGCGGCAGATATGCCAGCAGTAGGGGCTGAGGGGGACTTGATTAAGAGTGGTTTTCCCATGCCTCCCCGACTTGGTCACAGTGCTTCCTCCGAGATGGCCTCCCGGGCCATCCTCCTCGTCTGTTCGTTTTCATGCACTCTTGCGTTAGGCTGTGTCTCTGTCCCCAAGGCCACGAGACATGGACGTTGGAACTCAGGTAGTGGGTGAAGGTGTGTGACAGTAACAATAGCCGTGGCACCATAACTTCCAAATTCCTCAGAGGAGGGTGTTCCGGCCTGGGAACGCTGTGCTCTGGGGCTTTCTCTTCCAAGGTCATCGTGGGTTTCGGTTCCTGCTCTAAGCCCTGACCATTCCCTCTCTCTTCTCGGGAGGGATGGACAGCTGGGCGGTTCCTAGTTGACTTTCCTCTCTAGTGCTCTCCCCAGAACTCGCTGCTCTGAATCAGCTGAAGCTGTGACGGGGTGCCCTGCCCAGGCTGCGGGCCTCCGGCTTCAGGGTGCAAACCCTGAGGCATCTCCTATGCATGGGGGGGTGTCCGGGTACTCCAGGCCCTGGGCTGCGAGGGAAAGGCTTGAACTCATTTGTGCTGAGAGCCTGGGGAGGGCGAGACTGGGGAAGACTGAAGAGGAAGGAGCGGGAGGGAACGACGAGCAGTGAGTGTGGTGTCCACTTCTCCACGGACCAGAAGGGAGAGGTGATGGGCGGCGCAAACCCTGGGGCATCTCCTATGCATGGGGGGTGTCTGGGTACTCCAGGCCCTGGGCTGCGAGGGAAAAGCTTGAACTTATTTGTGCCAAGAGCCTGGGGAGGGCGAGACTGGGAAAGACTGAAGAGGAAGGAGCGGGAGGGAACGATGAGCAGTGAGTGTGGTGTCCGCTTCTCCACGGACCAGAAGGGAGAGGTGATGGGCGGCACATGCAGAGGCAGGATGGTCTCCCACCTGCGAGAGTGCCCGGACCCCTCCTGACCCTGTCTGTGCCCACCTCCAAGCAAGGCAGGGGAACTATGACATTCTATCCGAGTCTGTCCTTCATGGTCCCTCAGTCTTTAAACCGGTGTCCCTCTGGGTTAGAAGCAAGAGATGCGGCAGAGTCACCCCTGTGATCGAGAGCCTGTGCCACCACGCCACTCGTCATGAGACTGTGGAGGAAAAACTCAAGAGCAGAAATGTCTTCCTGTCCCTGTGGCCTCTCAGGACTCCTGAAGATGCTATGGACCAAATGCAGACGACAGGATGGGGCCACTGGCTTTCCCAGGTTCGGGAGCCGGGTGCTGTCAATAAACTGTTCCCTTTTTGATTTCGACCCCCTTTCGCCCCTTCTGCTCCCTCCCCTCTGCCAGGTACAGAAAAGGTGGCTGGTCTTGGCGTGCTCTCCAACCGCGGTAGCATTAGCTGAGTCACGCGGCGTGCACGACAGATTCGTAGCAGCTCATCTGCCATATAAACCGCTTGGCCGATGGAGTCCTCATTGAGTTGTTTCATTACTGTGCAAAGTGGAATAATGTCATTCACCTTGACTATAAACAAGGCTGCGAGACATAATAAACAGAACCTGAACACGCCGCCCTCTGCTCTCTCTCTGCCCACATTTCTGGCCGGCTGACGCTTTATGAGCAAACACTTCACATGACACATGGGCTTCCTTGGGGGTGGTGGGCACATGGCCTCACCCAGCAGAGGCTGGCACGGGGCCGGCCACCAGG